ATAGAAATATATACATATACTATTATACCTATATATATATATATATATATATATATGTAGTATGTATACGTAATATATAGTAGTGACAATACTGCTCCGAAACGGCTTGACCGATCTTTATGAAATTTTACAATTACGTTCAGTATGATTGAGAATAGGACATCTATTTTTCATACCCCTGAGTAGTACCATAATCGTTGGCAAACCCCTAATTTTTTTTATTTTACAGACCAACTTGTTTCATTTTATTTTTTTATAATTCGTAAGCAACTAAATAACATGCAGCCCTAAATGTTTACCCATCTAGCCCTATTTTGTAAAAACATTTTAGCGATCAAATAATGATACATCCCACGTGCAGTTAATGAATATTTTTGACTTAATTCTAGTTCAGATTTTTTGAGCTTCAGTTAAAGCTTATATTAAACAATTAACTTTATCACGAAATGTCCAACCATAAAACTTTTTTTTAAATTTTCGGATCATTTGGGTATTTATTTTTTTACTTGTTCTTTTAGTATTAAACCAACAAAAATGTTTTTGACTTAATATCTGTTCAGATTTTTTGAGTTTAAGAAAAACCTCAAGTTTTACTTAAAAATAATTTATTTCCTATCAAGGGTTGTCCAACACTAACACTTTTTTCAGTTTTAGGATCAATTGGTGTTTTTATTTTTTTTACTCGTTTTTTTTAGTATGCGCAAACTCATAATGGCAATTTCTAAGACATTAGAGCATTTTTTTAAAGGAGTCAAATTCAAAATTTACAAATGTTGTGAAAATTTTAAATACATTTTTTATTAAATAGTCTTAATTCTAGATAACTTGGTCTAATTGTTTGATTATTTTTGACAGTGGTCCTAGAATTATTAATAAAGGCTACTGTTTCAAAGTTTAAATGAACAAAACAAAAAAAAAAAAAAAAATGGCTACAGTTTGACCAAAACTTTAGGTTTGACTTAAAAGAAAAATTCATAATTTAATAAAAGAATTTAATTCTAGATAACTTGATGCAATTATGCGATTATTTTTGACAATGGTCCTAGAATTGTTATTTGAGGTTACAGTTCCAAAGTTTAAATGAACAAAAAATAAAAAAAATAACCAAAAAATGGCTACAGTTTGACCAGAACTCTAGGTGTGAATTGAAAGTATAAATTCATATTTCAATATATAGTTTTAATTTTAGAAAACTTAATGCAATTGTGTGATTATTTTTGGCAGTGGTCCTAGAATTGTTTATTAAGGTTACTGCTCCAAAGTTTAAATTATGAAAAATAATAAAAATTAAAAAAATAAACAAAAATTGGCTACAGTTTGACCAGAACTCTAGGTTTGCATTAAATGTTTGAATAAAAATAATAAAAGTTAAAAAAAAAACGGTTACAGTTTGACCAACTCTAGGTTTGGCTTGAAGGTTCACAAATTTCAAACTGCAAAAGATACTTTTTTCTAATTTTTTCAAAAGTATTATACATAATTAAATATAATATAGTTTTTATTTATATAGATAACTTTTTTGGTTTTAGGCTCTTTTATTTAGTGTGTGATACCTGAATATGAATTTTAAGTATACGTTATTTAATTGTTTTGTAAGATGTATTGATATTTTTAAGTTAGATTTAACTATTCTGGGACACCCTGTATATGCAAATATGTGATTTTTTTTTCGTTATACTCAAAACTGTTACACCGTTTTGGTTTGATGTTGAGTTCTGGGGCACCCTGATAAAGGCTTTTATTCATGTAGATAGTTATTTTTTGGTTGGGAGCTTTTTATATAGTTAATGATACTTTAATATTATTTTTAAATATACGTCAATGAATTGTTTTATAAGATGTATTAATAATTTTAAGTTAGATCTAGGACACCCTATATATACAATTGTTTTACTATCCGCAATATTAAATGTATATATATATATATATATATATAATATATATATATATATATATTAATATATATATAATTATATATATATATATATATATATATATATATATTGTAATAAATAAAATCTGAAGAATAAAATATTGTAGAAATATATTTGAAAGCTTATACTATCATAAATTATGTATAAAAATATTCAAAGCGTTATAAAATGTTTTATGACAACTAATAAAATGAGCATCTATTGTCCTCGTGGAAATATATATATATATATATATATATATATATATATATACATATATACAATAATATATATCTTGATATACAGGAATAATTTTCCAACATATGTTTCCACCAGTCTATCTATATATTCCTCAAAATGTAAATACATTTATATGTAAAATGAAACAAACATCGGGTCGCCTAGTATAATATATATATATATATATATATATATATATATATATATATACAAGTTGATAAATGCTATGACGTGTTTTATGGGGTACAAATAATGAACTCCGGCAGGGATGTCACCGACAGATACAGGGAATACCTCCTGCACCTTCCGACCTGGTGGCTACACTTGCAGCCCCGAACTATTTTGCCCACCCCTCCGTAGGGTTGGGTAAAATTCGCCCCCGCATTCGCCCCAAAATAAATAGAAGAATCAGAGAAATAGAGAGAATTTCGAATTAAAATAAATATGTCAAATTGGGCGCGTGGAAGATAATACAACTAAATGACATGTTTCTACGAAGAATTGAGCAAAAGTTTATTATTTGTGGCAGATGTAATAAGGGTTTAGTTTTTTTTGACTTTGGATTCTTTAAGGACAATATTTTTGTAATATTTTTATTCTGAAAAATTTTATACGAAATTTTATGTCACATCGCATATTTCTAATGTTTACATGAAAATTGAACTGTTTCAGATACTGATTTTTTTTAAAAAAAAACAAGAGATTAACTATAAAAGACACGAAGAAATGAAAAACGATTTACCAAATAAAATGAAAAAATTGTGCATCGTACATACTTTAAACAAAATAAAAAATAACTAGGTGTAAGTGACATTTTGCCTTAAGGCAAGTGCCAGAAATTTCCCGATATGTGTGAATAATCGATTTAATCAATAAGTATTTGAATTGTAATTTGATCTACTTGTCTAACAGCCTCTTTGTCTATCTGTTTAAGTAACCACCTGTCAACTTTGTCTACCTGTCTACACTTTCACCCCTTCTACCTATCTATCAGTCTATCTTCTTATTTACAAAAAAATGCAATACATTAAATACAAAATAAATTGAAAAAATTGTGAAAATATAAAAACAAACTAAAAATTGTGAAAAGATAAAAACTGACTAGATGTGCCATTTTGCCCTGAGACAAACTGCATAAATTCTCGATACGTGTAAATAATCAATTTAGACAATAAATATATGATCTACCAAACAGTCTACTTGTTCACCTGTCTAAGCGACTATTTTTCCCAGTGTCTACCTACCTACCCTATCATTATGTCAACCTTACTGTATGTTTATCTTCCAATTGATCTACTTGTCTACCTGTATACTTGTCCATTTGTCTATCTGCTCACCATTTGTCTATCTGTCGTGTGAGTATCAACTTTATCTACCTCTCAATTCTGTTACCCTGTATACCTACATACCTGTTTATTTTCCTGTTTGTCTAATTGCCTTCCTGCCTACTTGTCCATTTGTCTATCTGACCATCTGTCTATGTATTATATGAAACAATAAAAATGATTTCTAATGATCATCTTCGTCTACAGTTCTACTTTATCCACCTCTCTACCTTATCATTCTGTCTACCTATCTATCTTCTTATTTGTCTTCTTGTCTACTTGTCAATTTTTTTGTCAATTTGTCTCCACCTGTCCATGACAGTTGAGCATCAATACTTAAAGCAATATACTAAGAATCAGTATATAAAGCAATAAAACTGATTTGTAATGATCATAACAGTCTACTTATTTATCTGTCTAAGTATCTTCGTCTACGTATCTACTTTATCTATCTCTCTACTTTGCCATCCAGTCTACCTCTCTATCTGCCTATATTCCTATTTGTCTACTAGTCTACCTGTCCATTTTTCCACTTGTTTCCTTGTCCACCTGTCTACCTATCATGTGAGTATCAATATTTCTACATGTATATGAAATAATAAAAATGATTTTAATGATAATTTCAGACAGCCGTCAGTTTTTTAACTTTTTTTCTTGAAACTCCGAAATCGCTTGACTTGCCTTCGCAAAAATGTAAACAATGTTTCACTCCATCAATATAAATAAAATGTTATCCAAATATTTTAAATAGGATGCTCCGTTTTTTCAGTTGTTTGAACTAATGGAGTCGGATGCTCGTATCTCCGAAATGGCTCGACCTATCTTTGCCAAAAACTAATAAGCACGTCACGTCGTTATTTATTGTTTTTTAAGAATTCATGAATATGACAAATTCTAGATATTTTATGAAAAGAAACACCGAAATACGCCATAATAAAAAATATTAAGGCATTCCTAAAAAAAAATTAGACTGTTTTAGAACTAAATACAAAGCAAATGTAATATTACATGATGTATAAAAAAAAATTGCTGGAAAACTTAACCGTTTTCTGAATATTAAAGAAGATTTAATATGGTTCCGATAATCTTGAAAAATATCGAACGTTGATCCGAATTGTGAAATCAAATCTTAGTCTAGTGTTTATAGTAAGTTCACCTCACATCTGTATATACTGTATATTAACACCCCAAAAGTTGTCTCAAAACCTACATATGGTAAGAGGTACGCAACATATGTAGGTTTTGATACAATTTTTAGGGTGTCAATATACAGTATTAGCAGACTTACAGCTGGGTATCTCGAATTCCGAGATTCTAAGCTAATATAAGTTTAATGACTGGACTATCTCTGTCAATTACAAAACAATGTAACAAAATACTAACCGAATTTTCCTGTCTTTAAATTTTTTTAATAGTGTTTTTTTTCGCTCTTATAATATTTTCATTACTGACAATAATATAGTTTTACAATAATATAGAGATTATTTCTAAAATGTTAAAAAAAAATTAATAGAACGCTCACCTGTAAAAAAGTGTCGCCGTCTAAGGCCGCGTGCTCGTACGTCGTGAGGTCTCTGTTCCGAAAACTCGGCTCTTGCAGGTTATGACAGTGCGTCAACATACCCCCGTGTGGGTCCTCTTTGTCTTTGTGCATTACAACTGAAAAAAAAGAAATAATTAATATAAAAAATAAATAAACAGGCAAAATGTACCTTTTAGATACAATATTATGTACTAATGGTTAAATGATACTTTGATACTTCTCTTAAACGGTTATTCGGATTTTGATAATTCTTTTTAGAATTTGTTAAAGGAAATTTTCAAGATTTAATGAACGATAAAACCATAGTAATATTGTAGAAATAAATGGCAAAAATTACAAAAAAGTACTTATCATTGTTTGACATTGAAAACATTTGAACTGTCATCTGCTAGAATTGTCAATTCACTTGAAATTTAAATTTAGCTGAAATTATGAGCCTAGATAATATTAGAATATGATATGCAAGAAAAATGTAATGTCTGCATTATTATTGCCGAAAAGCAGCTGAGATGTGCAGGAAATTAAAATATTATAAGATACAGTAAACAGTATGTGTTTGGCAGATGAAATTATATAATTCAGTTTAATAAATATCGCAATACGTCCAAAATGTTAATACAAAAAATAATTGTACTTATTAAAAAAATGATTTAGAATTATGTTTCATGTGTCAAATATTCATTTGTTCGGCATTGGATATGGAATATTTAGCAAGTTGATCTTAGATTGAAGAATGCTCATATGAACTAGATTTTACAAATTAATCCACCTAATATTTGAACATAAACAGTAATGTTTATTAAATTATCAGTAAGAAAAATGTACTTTAGAAATTATAATTGTCAAAGAGCAACTAATATATCGTACGAGATTATGAAAATTATAGACTAAATTATTGAAGCAATTATGTTGTGTGATAAAATCAAGTGTGATATTGTTCTTTTACCACAGATACTATATTATTTTTTTTTTGAATTTCTTATACTGCTTATAATAAAACGATAAATGAATCACAAATACAAGATATCAAATAGGATATTAAAAAGTATAAGATAGTATAAGTATAAATTTGGAACTTTTGAATTTTAGACGTGTGTACAGGACAACGTCTGTTCGGCCACCTAGTATATATACATATATATTTACGTATATGTGTATATATATATATATATATATATATATATATATATATCTACGTAACTTTCATTTTTCCTTATCTAGGGTAATATTTCAGAGAAAGATAAAATATATTACGACATTTTCCGCATTTAAAGCGCCCTATTATAATTCAGGATTAAGGGTGTGTAGTTTTGTATTTCACTAGAATTTCAGGCTGTTCGTCCCCATTCTCGTTTGTCGCCGGGGTTGTAATTTTTAATGTTCATATTTTTTTCATCAAGGACGATAAAAACTCACGACAGAAACGATTGTGAAAGTTGATAATAAAAATAACAAACAATATGGTAGGTACGATGATAACATTGCACTAACACTGAATTTAATAATAAATACTTTGGATAGTTTAAATATTTTAATTCAAATATGAGTTAGTACTTCCTCGTGGATTAGTCCCTGACCTCTAATCCATGATGAGGTCCAATAGGCTTTCAATCAGAAGTTTCAGGTTGGATACCCGCCTTAGACAACCTGATGTCAAGCAGTAGTGACATCGGTTTTTACATGAAAATATAGACAGCAATATGTTCCCGAGTGAAAATAGCCCTTTCTCGACATTGGTTCATTAATAAAAAAAATATCATCACTATTATAGAAATATTTCTTTGTTTTTTATCATATGTATAGTAATGTTCACAACTGTTCCGAAACATACAAGTAAAACTGTAGAAAACTAGTAGTGAATGGCATCGTGCCTTAAGGCAAATTGCTGGAACTTCCCGTACTTTAATGAAATATTTGAGGAACATTAAATGTTTTCAAATAGATTATTATAAATAATGTAATTTTCATTATTGTTATATTATAAAAAGTTTTTGTAAATCATTCAAATCGGATGCTTCATTCTCTCAAAAATTTATTTTTTGCACATTTAGTTCCATATCTCCGAAACGGCTGGACCTGTCTTTGCCAAAATCTAATCACCACTTCTCCCCATTATTAGGAATGTTTTATGAATCATTCAAATCGGTTGATCTGTTCTCTTGAAAACTGACATTTTTAGCACTTTTTGTTCCATATCTCCGAAACCACTGGACCTATATTTGTCAAAAACTAATCAGCACGTCTCCTCATTAATAGGAATCGAATGTTTTTTCAAGAATTCAAATCGGTTAATCCGTACGCCTGAAATCGTCAACAAAAAATTGTCACCACACATACACATACACATCCATTTATTCTGAGGTATGCCAAAATGTTCAAAAACCTATGAAACGTGAAGATATGCAAATTTTAATCTTACATCAAATTATAATCTTATGAGCTAAGAATAATTGCAAGCAAATTTTCCATTACATATTTGAAGAAAATTTTAAATTTAAATTGAACATAAACTTTGATATCTGTTTTCTTTGTTTAATATATATATATATATATATATATATATATATACATATAATCTGTATGTATAAGTAATGATTTCTAAGAATTGAATCTTCATTCATTATTACAGCGATCTTTCAGAAATCAAAACTATTAAAATATCATCAACTGACGTCATCATATTTATATTAATAACAGATTAGTGAAATTATATATATATATATATATATATATATATATATATATATATATACATCTATGTATAACCAAGTATTTGAACCAGATACACAAATTAAAAGCCCTAATCATTTAACAATCAAATTTGTTGAACCATATATTAATCTAATGATTATTATAATTATCATTTATATTTAGAAATGCATTTTCATAAAAATTAAACAATTTAGGCTATGATTTAATAGTTTAAAAATACATGTTTAAAAATAGATGTAAATAAAACTAGAATATTTGAGGCAAAATAGACTTTATCAATAAGATTTTATATTAAGAAATTTTTGTGACGACAAACTTTTTGACTGTTTTCTTACGAAAAATGAAAAATAAATTCAAAGTTCATTATTTGTTCTAAGTCCACAGCCCATTATTCTAAACTTCAATAAATTATTTTAGCTTGTTTGTTTTTTAAACTCTATCATCATACAAAGCATCATTAAAATAGTGTAATTCCGAAGAAACGACCCAACCGATCTTAAACAAAAACCAGTTAGCACAATTTCCAAACAATATATTTCGGATAATTTTTGAATTTTCGTTTTGAGTTTCATCGAATGGCTTTCAAATTTTTAAAATCCATACAGCCGTTTTAGAGAAAACGTCGACGAAAATCAATTTTTGGTTTGTGCATACACATTATATAGAATTTAATTTAATTTGTATATCAATTAGTCTTGGCACTTAAAATCTCGATCAAATCCTATTTTGACCCTATCTTGGGTCCTTCTATCATATAAATCATAAATATAATTCATGATCATAATAATTATTAAACTATGTGTAGTGATAAATTTTATATTAAGCTTGTCAAGTGCTCGAACTGATTTAGAAATTAATAAAAACACAAAAGCGTTTCACTTAGTACTTTTATTATGTAAAAGGTCTGCGGGCTATCCCTTTTTACTATTATTTTCCGTAATAATTCTATTAAACACCCTTAATGTAACAAAAGCGCCAATCCGCATACAATTCAAATTTAACAAAATTCAAAGTCATCGTGACTTTGCTAGAAGTGAAAACGTAGGCTTCGTCCACACTATCGACTAAAATAAAAATAAAAACTAGTAGTGCATGGCATCGTGTCATGCGGCAAATTTCTGGAACTTCCCGTACTAAAAATTAAAATTTTTAAAAGAGGTTAAACTTTTTTTTAATCTTAGAAAAAATTTGATTTTTGAGGAAATTTTTGAAAAAATTGACTTTTTTGAAAAAAAAAACGTTTGAAAAAAATGTTTTTTTTTTTTTATTTTGAAGTATTTTGGATATTTTGATCTTTTTTTCAAAGCAATCACACTGCTTTAGCTGCATAGATATGAAATTTCGAAGCGCGTAAGCGCCGCATCGCTGTCGTTAGGACAAACGATATTACGGAACCCATAGAAATGTAAACATAACATTTTTTATCCGAAAATTAGCCCCTCAATTTTTCATGTTTTTATCAATTCATACGAGTCTATATCAATTTATTTTTATATGTAGGTTCTTGACACCGGGATTCGATCCGAGTGGCTCTGTATCTGCCATCAACAAAATATTAAACTAGTGGTGCATGGCATCATGCCTTAAGCTAAATTTCTGGAACTTCCCGTACCAAAATATAAAATTTTTAAAAAACCTTCAAAATTTTTTGAAATTTGAAAGAAATGAGATTTTTGAGTATTTTGAAACTTTTGAAAAAAAATTGATGGTTTTGACAGATTTAATTTTTTTTATATATCGAGTTTTCTGTATACTTTGAATTTTTCTGAAAATTGTGAACTTTTTTTTTAAAGCAATTGTGCTGCGTGGCTGTTTTAGACAAGATATATCAAAGCGCATAAGCGCGGCATTGCAGTCTAATGAATAAACATTGGTACGGAACCCAAAGAAATGTAAACAAAATTCATACTTATTATTAAAATCTCTATAAAATATCTTATAATTTGATATGCATATATCTAATGATCATTTTTGACCGCCAAATGGCATTTTTTTTTTACTTTTTTCACTTGATCTCCGAAACCGCTAGACCTGCCATCCAGAAATTTACTCAGTTTTTCATCTTGTCTTGTACAAGTTAAATGTTTTTCTGAATTCTTCAAAACAGACCCTTCGTTTTCTAAAACTGAATTACTATTTTTGGCCTGTATCTTCGAAATGACTGGACCTGCTTATGTCAAAAACTAATCAGCACGTTCCCTTAACAATACGAATCGAATGTTTGTTGAATTATTCAAATCGTTGATCCGTGTTCCCGAAATCGTCGACAAAAATTTGTATCTGCACACATACACTCTCTCTCACACACACATACACATACATCCATTTTTCTGAAGTATGCCAAAATGTTCAGAAACCTCTGAAACGTAAAGATATATAAACGTTTTCAATTTCGATTTTTTTGCGATTACTATAACTTACCCTACGGGAAGTTAATAATGATTAAACAAAATTTTCAATTTTCATTTCTCATTTCTTATACCGTGTTTATAATATAAATCGAAAGTTTTCCGTAAAAATCCATCATGTTGAACGCGACCTGACGCGTTCGTGTAGGTACTGGGTGAATTGAAGTCGAGTCGAGTCGAGTCAATTGAAACATCATCGTGAAGTTGTTCGGACGAGAAGAGAATGAAGATAATCGATTCGAGGCGATTAATTGATTCGATTTGCCGATAATTGCGGCTGACGGAGCTAAATATCGATAATATCGACACGGTGAGGGCACTTGTCGAGAGGTAATAGATGGAAATTATATTATATATTTGTAGATATTGATGATTAGTTCGATTGTAGGAGAAAATATTGTAGAGGGGAGCGGGGCTTGAAGGTCCGCGGGTGAAAAGGTCCACCATCAACATCTCAAAAACAAATAGGGTTAGGCATTTTTTACCAACAATATGTGCAAGTAGAGGAGAAAATATGTATAACCAGCCATTACCTTGATTCTTATGACGTTGCTATCGGGAGATAAACGGCAATGTTTGAAAATCCATAGCAAAAGTATTTTCTTTCGTTGTTAGTTTTTTTGATTGTGAGCACTGTTGTTTAGTTTACGAGACCTTCATATAATTTCTGAGAATACTTTATTTAATGGTTTTATAAGATGTATCGTTATTTTTAAGTTTGATGCACCAATTTTTTATATAAGTTTTATAAAAGCTCAGGTGGGGTTAAAGGACCAACTAAACCTTTACTCTAGCAAAGGTGCAATATAATAATAAAAAAGTAAATTAAGTTAAATAAAACCAAATTCACAAGAGATAAATTGAATAGATAGTTATTCCAACTGTGCTAATAAATGTTTCTGACGAAATACCAGATCAAGGTTATATATAGTGTTATCTCTGAAAAAAATGTACCCATGTAATTTATATTTTACATTGGTTGAATAATATAGCTATTATTTTACAAAATTCCATAAAAAAATAATACATTGGAATCTAGCCGTCCCATTTTATTCCACCTAAGGGGTAAAAAGGGCAGTTGACAAAATTATAAAAAACAGCAAAAAACAAATTTTTAGAATGATGAATTAGCTGAGAGTTTTACTGAACATAGTCAGATAGTTGTTTTTTTGATATGTGTTATTTGTTATTATATAATTGGTTTGGTTTTCACAATATAATTGCCTAAAGTCAAATTAGACCTTCGTGCCCCGACTTACGCTATATGTATATCAGTAAGCTATGTTATTAAAATAAATAAGAATTAAAAAATACAAAAAGCTGTGATTGCTGCAATTATACTGGAATATATAATTTTTTCAATGGATACAATTTCAATGACAATATGAAAAAATCAGACGTCTCTTTTAATTGCAAAATGCATTGGTTGAAAAATGTAGCTATTATTTCGTAGAATCTCTTTGAAATTAAAAATGAGACATTGAACCTGTTTGGCCCCTGATCGTCCTAATTTACCCCGCCTATGGGGTAAAAAGACCAGATAACAATTTTTTGAAAAACACGTTTCTACAATGATGAATCAGCTAGGAGTTTACTGAACATAGTCAGATAGTTGTTTGTTTGATGTGTCTTATTTGTTTTGATATAATTGGTTTGGTTTTTACAATATAATTGCTCAAAGTCAAATTAGACCTTTGTGCCCCGCCCTACCCTATTTTTACCCTAGAAAACGGATTTAACAAAAAACAAGGGTTACTCATAATTTAAATTAGTATTAATAACTCAACGTCATCTTACCACTCATAATTTTTCCTATAGGTTATTATTTAATTATTAATCAGGTCAAGATATTCCCCCCGTCATGTTGGCAATCCATGCATATAATTTTTGGTATTTTATCAAATACACCTGGAAATGAAATCTAGAGGCTATTTCTCATTTCGACATTAATTGCGGAAATAACGTGAATTATTTTTATAAAAATTCGCCCTATACGTGATTTTGGGTGAGACCTACACCCTTATGTCTATAAATCAGATATGCCCTGACCACATACATTCTTTTACAAACACCCATTAGAGAGAGGATATATATATATATATATATATATATATACATACATACATACACACATATATATATATATATATATATATATATGTATATACATATAAAATGGTCGTCGTAAAAATCAAGGTGATGGCTGGTCTTACACCATTTTCCCGCTACTTTCAAATATTGTGATTAAAAAGTTCTTATCTTTGTAAGACTTAAATATCAGTGTAAGACTTTTTTACCCGCCCCGCTCTACCTTATTATAGAAATTATTTTCTATTTACATAAATTTTCCCAATTCTGTTCAAAATTTTCAACAAATACCATACCTTGCGCGATCAAAATTCCCGCTCTAATCGCATCAATTAATATTCATAAATATTTAACGAGCTCATTATCGTCCAACTCCGTTATCGTGGTATCGTCGTATATGGCAACCCCATTCGGAATCCGACCGCGTCCGTCCGACTCGGTGTCGTTGAGGGTTGCCTGATTTCAATATTCAAATTAGCCGCGCCCAGCTCTGGCATTATTTATTTTGACATTTTTGATACCCTTTTACTTTCCCTAACTGACTGTATTAATTATAATAAGGGGTGGCCCCGTGTAATGTACGGAGATAAATACGAATATAAATACATAGATACACACACACACATATATATATATATATATATATACTAGGTGACCCGACACACGTTGTCCTCTATCCACGTCTACAATTCAGAAGTTCCAAATTTTTTAACATCCTATCCTATACTTTTTAATATCCTATTTAATGCCCTCCTTTTGTGATTCATTTATGGTCTTAGCATGAGCAGTATAAGAAATTCAGAAAAAAATAATATAGTATCTGCAGTAAAATAAACAATATCACACTTGATTTTACCACACAACATAATTGCTTCAATGATTTAGTCTAAAATTTTCATAATCTCGCACGATATATTAGTTGCTTTTTGGCAATTATAATTTCTAAAGTACATTTTTGTTACTAATAATTTAATAAACATTATTGTTTATGTTCAAATC